GCAAAGGGTCTGAATACTTATGACCATGTGATATTTCAGTTTTTCTTTTTTAATAAATGTCTACATTTCTATCTTTTTCTGTCAAGACTGGGTGCTGAGTGTACATTAATGAGAAATAAAATGAACTTTTTTTGATTTTAGCAAATGGTTGCAATGAAACAAAGAGTGACAAATTTAAAGGGGTCTGAATACTTTCCGTACCCACTGTATATATATATATACACACGAGAGGCGTTGGTTTTGCAGAGACATATGTCACATTTAAATTGTCTAATTTATTTTAGGTAATATTTTGTTCTGCATTGTAGTGTTTTTTGTTGTTGTTGAATGTGGAAAAGTTGTGTTAATCTTGTTCTGCATTGTAGTGTTTTTTGTTGGATGTGAAAAGATGTGTTAATTTATCAATAAAAATGTTACAATATGTTGGAATTTCTATGTGTTTTCTAACCTAAGCTCTAGCAACCTTTTGGTTCAAACAGAGAAAACTGAAGCGTCTCGTTGACGTCACTAAACAGTCTGCGGTTCACTCACCAGGCATAGCCGACCTTGACCATAGGATTCATGGCCTTCTTCTTGGAGTAATACTGCGGCTCTTCAGGATCCTCCTTCCCGACTGTTCTCTGGCTGCTCTGACTTCCCGTTTCGGAGCTCACCTGGAAGACCGCGGGGCAAACATGCAGCAACCGGGCACTGTTACACGACGTCGGGAAATGACCGATAAACGAACGGCGTGTAACGTCAGGCTCTACACCTGGATAAAAACATCGCTTCATTAACAACAGTCATACAAATTTAAACGTTGCACTTCAAAGCGAGAAAAAATGGGGTTTTAAAAAGTTTTTCACCTTTTAACGCTGTCCTCGTCACTCCTATGTAGCGCGCTGCCATGTTTGTTTGGTGATTTCCGGACATGCGCAATTACAACCCCCAACCCGCAATTACAATACTTCTCACTGCCATCTAGCGACCATGGTTGGCCATTACAGTGCATAAAACAGATTGCCAGTAACACCGTAAAACTAAACTGTTTCCTAAACTAAAAAATAAAATTGCAGTTGTTTTTTTATGCCCTATCTTTGGCTAACTAAGCACTTTTAAGAAATAACATTTTGTTTGTGGGATATTTCAATGTTTTGCAAAGTTGTTTTGGCTTCCTGGCTAACTTCGGGTGACGTCTGTTACCATTACCACTATTTTGGCAGGTTTTACCCATTATATTTTTATTAATCCTTCGATTCGCTGTGGCAACCAATGAAAAAAATATCATCCGAGCTAACGTCTAACATTTTCAACACTTTATATACGTATTTATAACGAAAGTGGTTTGAATACATTTTTTTAAAATAAATTGTCTTATTAAATCAAAATCACAACCACAAATATTCTATTCTAACAATTGCACTCGAGTTTGAGAGGTTTCCACAACACTTTATTTATTCAACATATTATAGTTACAAAAATAGATACGGAACAACAGTTACATTGTACTTCTGTTACCTAGAAGTGCAAGATAACTGGTACACAGGCCTAGAATGCCCTCTAGCGGCAGTCATGGTGAAAATAACAAACATGTAAATTTCACTGACTCCAGAGATGGTGGTTGACTGGACAGAAAACCAGGCACAAGGAAGCAAACTACTTGCCAAAAAAGGAATAACAGACTATTTACAAATTGTTATTTTATAAAGAACCTTATTTTTTTTAAGGACCTATTTTTTTTTTTTTAACCCAGGAGAGATAAGTCTCGGAGCATCACCAAATACTATTCTGTACATGTTACATAAGAGCTCTGACTTTAGTTTTCATTTTCATGTAAAAAAAAAAAAAAAAAAAAAAAAAAATTTAAACTGTAAGCAAAAGAAAATCTTCAGTCTTCCAGAACGTAGTTGGGATTGACGACCAGTACACCTTCGCCTTCTGAGCTTTCTGATTCTGAGCCCTTAAGCCCAGCCTGTGATAGCTCGATTAGGATGTGATCCTGGAATAAAGCGAGCAAAAAAACGTTTTTTTTTTTCAAAAACAAAAGTTAAAAAAAAAAAAAAAAAAATTGTGCATTGTAATAAAAGCCCACTCACGTAGTCCACCAGCCTTTGAATGACCTTTTCGATCATGCCCTTCCTGTTGACCAGCTCCTCCTCGGAGTCTATCTCCGACTCGATCTCTTTGAGATACCAGTTCACCACTGCGCTCTTCTTTAGCTCTTCCTCTTCCTCAGCTGCAGGTGAAGAGCAAATATATGAAATTAAAAAAAAAAATGAATCACTGAAGATAATACTCCTTTTAAGTCACTTTGAATAAAAAAAACAAACAAAAAAAAACAAACAACTTGCCTTCCTCTACTCGGCGCAGATGCAACACGAGCAAGTTGGAGATGCGCTTGTACTCGTTAAAAGACAAGCGGAGCGATGGTTTAGACTGGCTGCCGGGTTCAGCGTGAGCGTTGACGTCACCGTTCTTGCCATTTATGTGCCCATTTACAGCAGGAACATGGCCATTTACTCCGTTAGGAATGTTATCTGCAAGAGGAAAAAAAAAAAAAAGTTTTAAAAGTGACGATCAGTTTTTAATCGCAGACAAGAGATAGATTGCGTGGAAGGCCGTTTGCTGTGTCGCAGTACCCTCTTCATTCTGTTGTTCTTCCTCCATCTCTTCGTCCTGCTCCAGGTTGATGTCGGGCGTCTCCACTCTGATAATGGACTTGTTGAGGAGACGGAAGGCTTCCTTCACGTGTTTGGGTCGCACCTGAAGAATTTAAGGCGAAATCGTTTTGGTAAACGTTGTCTTTCTTGCGTACAGCTGACTGTTAGCTATTTAAGGCTAAATTTAAGTTGCTTTTTTATTCCCATTACAAACTTCTTTCTACATTTTCATAAATCATTAACCGTTTATGTCTCAAAACGCAACTTTTACTCAATTTTGTTTAAGAAGTAAACAAAGATAGTCATTTTGCAATTGGCCGGCAACATGCATACCATCTAGAGTGCCCTCTAGCGGCTGTCAGTATGAAAATAACGAACATGTACATTTTCAGTGGTACCGAAGTAGCAGCTACTAGGTACACGAGCCTAGATTGCCCTCTAGTGGCTGTCAGTGTGAAAATACCAGATATATGAAATGTATGTATGTTGCAAAATCAGCTAAAGAAGGAAAAAAAAGTGCGACTTATAGTCCGAAAAAATATGGTATCAAAATTTCAAAAACCCATCTTTAAACCTTAAACAACGCAACACTGACATCATTCGACAACATTTTCCAGAACCCAATGAAAGCGTTCAATTGGTACCTCGTCACTGCAATGCATACGAGCCATGGCCTCCGAGAGACGGATCATGCTCTCGAGCTGCCGCACAGTTATCCTCCACGCCGACTTGGACACACCTCCGGAGCCATCGCGCTGCCGCAGGTGCTTATACTGCTCCACGATGAATTCTTCCGATTCAGGGGAGATCTACGGAGACGGTAGAGGACGTTAGTTAACGCCATTTAAAACCCAAACGCAATCACGCAAAAAACATAAAACGGGGGTTCGGGGAGAAAGGCAACTACTTTGGGTTTGAACTGCCGGGCAAAGAGAAGATATCTGCGGATCTCGTCCAGGGAGTAGAGTCTGTCTACCGACTCCTGCACCCGGGAGTGCAGATCAACAATGCGGCGGGCGATGGCGTAGTCCGTCACCTTTGAGAAACGACACAAAAACACAAAACTAAGAAAAGGAACACTTTAAAGAATGTGATCGACAAAAAAAAAAAAAAAAAAAACTACAGGTACCTCGTTACAGTCGTCCACCAGAATGAAGAAGAGGTCAAAACGACTCATGATCGGAGCGCTCAGGTTCACGTTCTGTTTCAGGCTTTTGCTCCGGTCATAGCATCCACCGACTGGGTTGGCAGCAGCCAGGATGGACGTGCGGGCGTTCAGAGTGGCCTACGGCGGACGAAGGCGGTGTTCGTGTTACGGTATTGCATTGCAGTCAAAAGGCATCAGATCCCAGATTATAGATATTGACCCGGGGGGACAAATGTGGCCCACCAAGTCATTCTATATATTTTTTTTATTTTCATTACACAGCAATGAATAATATTTGGAATTTATTTGAACAACAATCAATTTCAGAAACACCCGGTCCATTACCTTGACTCCAGCCTTTGTGATACTGATGGTCTGCTGCTCCATAGCCTCATGAATGGCCACCTGATCCTTCAAATCCATCTTGTCAAATTCATCAATGCAACACACACCCTGAAAAAGAAAAAAACATCAACAGATGTGGTTTTGATACTTTACTTTTTTTTTCCTCAGAAAATCACTAACATGCAACATCAAAATGGTTCATTCTATATCAATACATTATTACAAGCTGTTTTTTTTCATTTTCCACACCGACACTAGAGGGCACTCTAGGCTTGTGTTCCAGTAGCTGCTACTCCTGTACCACTGAAAACTGACATGATCGTTATTTCCAGCTGCTAGAGGGATGTTTTTTTTTTTCTTCTGCATTACACTTTTTTTTTTTGTCTGGTGCGACCTATACTCCGACGCTACTTATTGTCCAGAAAATACGGTATATCATATAGCTTTAATGCACATTTTTCCAAAGGGGTGTTTATAAATTTCTATTGTCCATGTGTATCTCAATTCTCTTATATTCTAAATATATTAAAATTTATATATGTACATGTGTCAAAAAAAAGTCTCGAAGGCTAACTGTGCCATCACTCACATTGTCGGCCAACATCAGAGCTCCGGCCTCGATGACAAACTCATGGGACTCCTCGTCTCTGACAACGGCGGCTGTCAGACCCGCGGCACTGCTGGCTTTGCCGCTGGTGTACACAGCTCTGGGACTGAATTCCTCGACGTGCCTGAAAAGACAAATCACCGTGTTTATACTGCAAATATTCCATCTAACCAAAAGGGGGCGGCAATGGAGATCAAACAACGGCGAGTTTGACACACTTGAGGAACTGGCTCTTGGCGGTACTTGGGTCTCCTACGATGCAGACATTAATATCTCCTCTCAGTGAGGTTCTCTCCATGGTCGTCTTGGGGACGCCTCCGAACAGCATCAGCAGGACTCCGCGTTTCACCTCGTCGTTCCCTGTTAGAGATTTGAAAACCGTTTTTGACGAGATTGACAAACAAAGGTGACGACGCTGAAGGAATTTTCCAACGCGGAGTTATGTACCAACCATGGAT